GAACACCTTTTGGAACATAGTTTCGTAAAGTTCCTAAAGATTGAGTGGCTTGTTCAGAACTCAGAAGCTGGAATTAAATCCAGGTTTTCAGGCCAGCTCTCTGTCCACTACCCTCTGCTAACTCTCCTGCCCAGTACACAGTAAGCACTTAATAAATGCTTCTGGATTATTTTTGGTGCAAAAGTGAGACAGATCCTGGTCCCCATAGAGATTTAATAAGAGTTTTTGATCATTTTACAGAGACAGGAGGAACATCCCTGATTCAGCATGTGCTGAAAAGCAAAAGGGAGATGGAAGGAGGAAAGATCTTCATTTTATTTGGAAGTCTCATATGCAAGACAGATGCACAAATAATCCAGCCCTAGATATGTAGGAATTTTGAAAAAACCCAGAATTTCCTATAATCAAAGAGCCCTCATTTTATGTGTGCACATATTACTGAAATGAACTTCTGAGGCAAAAGTGAATTGAGCTTCAGCCACAGCAGCCTCCCCAGGTGATCATGCTGCCCAGACCTAGGGCTCTCTCTCATACCATTTGGGGGGCACCACATGCTTTGCTACCCAAGGTCCTGTTCCATGTAGGGATGACCTCTCCTTTTCATTGCAAATGGAAGGGAAGAAGTCAATCAAGAGAGAAATGGCTGGCTTGCTGCCATTTTAAACTCAATGTCCTATGGAAAACTGAATCCCAACATGTTCAAAACAGAATTATCTTTTCTCCAAATCTATTCTCTTTGGACTTTCCCTCTTAAGGACACCCCATCCTCCCAGTCACCCAGGGTTGCAGTCTCAAAGTCTTTTGATGGATGAACTCTCTCCTAATCTTACATAGAACCAAGTCTCCATCTCATTTACCAGTCATCATTTCTAACCCTAACCTTGCTGCTCTTCCCCATTTCCAGCTTCCCTTTATGCATTGCCTTCCCCTACTAGCTAGTGAGCTCTTTGAGGGAAGACTGTCTGGTCTTTCTTGTTGGTATTTATGTTCTCAGTGCTTAGCAGAGCACATGTTAGGTACCAAGCAATTAATTTGCTCTCTTAGATAATCTCCCTCTCCTTCTTCCTCGTCCCGCTCCTTTCTCTCCCTCTTTCCTTCACTCAATCCCCTTCTCCTCACTCTCCCTCAGTCTCCATATTCAGTCAGCTGCCAAGCCCTGTCATTACCACCTACACAACACCTCTGGCATCTCCCCTCTTCTCTCCACTCCCACAACCTCATCACTTTTTTACCTGGGATGCTGGAGTAGCCTCCTGTTGGGTCTCCCTGCCTCTAGTCTCTCCCCTCCCCAATCCATCTTCCTCTCAGCTACCAAAGGGAAATTCCTAGAGTCCATGTCAGATTGTGTCCATTCCCTTCAGTGACCTCCAGTGGCTACCTAATGCTACATCTAGGATCAAATATAAACTCCTTTGTCTTTTAAAACAATTCATAACCTGGCTATGCCCCCCCCTTTCCAGCCTTGTCCAACATTATTCCCCTTCGTGTACTCTACAATTTAGCTTAATTGGTCTTTTCCTGTGTTTTGCATGCAAAAAAAGAAAATTTCCCATTTAAGGTCCTTTACAAAGGCTATGTCCCATGCTTGGATTGCATTCCATCCTCACATCTGCCTCTGAAAGTCCAAAATTTCCTCAGTGTCACTTCTTAAATGAAGCTTTTTCTTACCCCCCCCCTTAGTGTTTAGATCTTTCCTACATTGATCTTCCCCATTACCACATCCTATTATCTTGCATTTTGTTTATATTGTGGATATATTTATACATGTACCTGCTCCATCCACCACTAGAATGTAAGCTTCTTGAGGACAGGGTTTTTTTCATTTTTGTCTTTGTAGCACCAGCACCTAGCACAGGGCCTGATGTATACTAGGGGCTTAATAAATACGTTTTGACTAATTGTCATGGAGAAACACACTGTGGTATTTGGTCGATATCTAGTGGCTATACTGGATATTGCAGTTTATTTGTGTTTTCCCCTCATCTCCTCACTCTAGAATCAAAGAATCTCAGAACTAGAAAGGATTTCCAAGGCCACTCTTCCAACCTAAATGAGAATCTCCTCCCTGGCATCCCCTGTCAAGTGGTCAGACAGCTTTGGTTTGAAGACCTCCAGTGAGGGGAACCCTACCCACCCCTCCCAAGACAGCCTATTCTCCTTTGAGACAGCTTACTACCTAAGACAATTCCTAGCTTTGGAATCCTGGGTAAGTCATGCACCCTGTTTGCCTCAGTATCCTCATACGTAAAATGAGCTGAAGAAGGAAATGGCAAACCACTCGAATGTTTTTGTAAAGAAAACACCAAAATGGGCCACAGAGAGTTGGACACAACTGAAAATGATTGAACAACAACTTTATAATATGGTTTCATGTATGTAAGGATTATTATCCCTTTTCCCCACACATTTTAATCTTTTCCCTGGATGTTCTAGATCCTGTCTAAAAAACTTAACTGTGGTATTATTTTGTCAAGATATTAAAGTATGCCCTTGATAATTTGATTGGTATAGCATTAAGAGTATAAACTGACTTAGGTATTGCAGCTAGGATCTGACTAGTGTGAAAAATGAGTCTCATGCAATTGTATGTAATGGAATCTGCACTATTTGCACAATAATGATGTCAAATATAGTAAACTGATTCCAGTCCAATGGAAATATGCAGAGCAAATTTAAATAATGTGACCACTTCACAAGATTTTTTATTTGTACTCATCTGGACCTAAGCTGTATAGTCTTTTCTATTATATTGGTATAATAAACCAGCCACAAGCATGGAATATTTCCCCACCTATGTAAGCTTGTTCTTTATTTCTTCAAGGATCATTTTGTTGTTTTTTTGTTTTGTTTTGTTTTTGTTTGGGTTTTTTTTTTTTTTTTTTTGGCTATGCAATGGGGTTAAGTGACTTGCCCAGGGTCACACAGCTAGTAAGTGTTATGTGTCTGAGGCTGGATTTGACCTCAGGTCCTCCTGAATTCAGGGCCGGTGCTCTATCAGCTGCCCCCAGCATCATTTTGTAATTAAATCTACACAAGCCTTTTGTGTGCTTTGGTAGATTGGGTCCCAGACAATTTATGCCTCTTGAAGTTATCTGGAATGGGATTTCCCTGGACAGGTCTCTGACTTTTTATTATGCTTTAGAGATGTTATTAATATTTGAGCGTTTATTTTGTAGCCTGCAACTTTGCTGAATGTATTAACGGTCTCCATTTGTATCTTTACTGATTCTCTAGGATTTTCCAAGGAAACTATAACATCATCAGTTCTCTATAATGTCATCAGCTCAGCAGGAAGCCATGGGCTTCCTGATAATGAACCAGATAATGAACAGAATCAAGCAAGGGAGGGGTGACCTACTAGGAGCAGGGGAAGGGAGGACTATGAACCATAGCTACCAGGATTTCTACTAGGTGGCAGAGATAAATTTCATTAACCTCAAAGGAGGAAAGGTTACCGATGGAGGTAGGAGGAGAACCTGGCCATGCAGACAAAAGATTTAACAGTCCTCCCCAAGTATATAAACCAGAGCATTCCTCTGTGTACATTAAGGAAAACCTGGAACTACAATGGAATAATCACAGCATTCAGATCAAAACAGGGGCCAACCTCCAATAAAGGCATTTGACTCCACCTATCATTCTCTCAAATTAGTGGTATTTCCTATATGACACTTTCTAAAATCATAAGGGGAGAAATCCAGCATAATACTCTCCTAATACTATGGAATTAAAACAGACCCCCCAAACAAAACTTATTACCAGGCAAATAACATTCATATGTTTGAATGCATTTCTGAATGATCTTAGAGAAAAACAAAACAAAATAAAATCAGAAACATTTGTGTCTTCTATACAGGTGCCCGGGGAGATTAGTGCATGGTAATTAAAATCCAGTTGCATTTATACTTACAAAAATGTCTCTGATTCTTGATGTCTATAAATGGTGTGTCAGAGCTATAGGGGTGCGGATGGCTTCCTACACAGCAGGATTATCAGGAGAGGAAGGCAGAAGATGGTTATTATAACAAAAAGAACGTTCTTAAGTGGTTACCTTCTCCTTTAGCCCAGTCCTTTATGCTAAGCTAGCACTCTAACCATTCTTTATCCTTCTTTATTCAGATAGGGTAAAGAGGAGGGGAAGGACCTTTCTAAGTCCTCTGAGTCCTCCAACCCGGCTCATCTCAGCTGATGCCCTCGAAGCGTGGCAGGGGGAGGTGTGGTACTTAACTTGGACATTTCGAAGCAGTCCAACACCTTCTCCTCCAGCCTCCCCTGCCAACTGTTTTTTCTTTTGCTCCTGGTGCTATTGTCACAGTCTCGATTGCGTGGTTGCTGTAGGATCCCATCGAGTGGCAGGACGGGTAGCGAGCGGTCCCTGCAGGGACGCCCACGGTGCCCACACAGGCTGTGGACTGGCCAGGAACTGGCCTCTGCTCCTGTTCTGCTTAATGGCACCAGTGGGTGGCGGGGGCACCTCTGGAGCACCCACCGTTAGAGAGCCCGACTGCGATGTATTTCCTGCCTGCTTTTGCAATCGGGGAGGACATCAACAATTTCAGTCCAGCTCTCTGTGTGAGGCTGAAGCAGCACAGACCTGCCCGGGAGAACTTCTGCAAGGGCTGGCTGAGAATCCCCCTCTCCGGGGTGATGGGTTTCCCAAGCCCACCGGAGCCTGGGCATAGCCGACTTGCGCCCTGCGCCAGGGCTCGCGCAGGCTACAAGCTCTTCCTGCAGGGCGACTCTGTACAGACATAGTAGCTAAAAGTGTTCAGATTGGTACTGGTGAGCCGAAACCCCGCCCCCAGAGTCCCACCAGGCCTGGGCCTTCCCCTCGCTCCGCCCCCGTACATCGCGGTTACCATAGCCACCAAGTGAGGCGGAGGGATTGGTGAATTCACCTTTCCAGACCTAGAGCACACAAAGGGACCTACACTGCGCACGCAGCCTCTTCCCCGCCCACCCCGTCACCATGGTTACCACTATGCTGAGAGCTTGGCCTGGCCAGCCTGGCCTCTGCAGCTTTCCCTCCCACAGTTTTTCCCCGCCCCGAGAAGGCAAACTTCTCGGAATTCTGGCAGAGTCCGGTGAGTTCGAGAATTGGCCAGTTAGGCGCCAGCCCCGCTCCGGCCGGCAGAAGGTCCGGGGAGCTCACGTCCATCCCCGAGGGTCTGGGAAAGGGCACTTTAGGACCCTCCTCGTCTCTCGTCTCCATCCCCTTTTTGTCCCCAGCTCCTGGGTCTACTCTGCTCCCTGGCCTACGGTCTGTCTCTGGGCTCTCCCCACGCCCCAGGCCTGACCTCTGCCCTGGGGTTGCGATCTAATTTGGGGCGGAGAGGAGGGAACCACAGCCTCCGCTGGGTAGGGAGCCCAGACTGGGCGGAGGGAGGCAGCAACGACCCCAACCCTGGCCTGCCTGATGGAGGGGATGCTGGGGAGCGGTTGACTGTCATCACCGGACTCCGAGGCCGAGAGGGTGGCGGGAGGGTCCAATCAGCATCAGCCCAGCCTGGCAATGAGGATGGCTAAGACCTCAGTGGAAACCCTCCGATCAGCCAGGTGGTTCGCCCCTAGGGACAAGTCCAAGTTCAGGGTGGGGCTGCGTGGAGGCAGGGGGCCGCGCTTAGGGCCAGGTCCGAGCTTGGGATGGTGCAAAGGGTTGCTTGGAGAGGTCCATGGGTGACCAGGGTGGTGCCCCCTCTGCTGTGGTATTGCAGGCTGCCTGCTGAAGGAATGGGGAGAGCCAATGCTCGGGAAGGATGTTTGACCAGGCCAAACAAACTAACGACTGGATGGAGACCTTTCTGAAAATCTCAACGCTGGTGCTGTTGAGTATCCGTTTTCTTGGGTCCTGTGATCTGGGGAGGGATGGGCGGGTTGGCACCGCTGACCTGCTGGTCTGCTAGAGAGGGTCTTTACTGTATTTCTGTGGATTATCACCACCAAGTTTCTCTGCCAACTTTTCTGCCCACCATCCTCAAGGAAACTCATTCTCCAGTTATTGCTAGTTAAATGGTCTTGGGAGCCAACAGGGTGGATTATGATCACTATAAATTTTATATTATTTGATGTCTTAGTTACAGGAAGTCACCTAGGCTAAAGGCTCCTAATGTCCACAAACAGATAATGGTCACAAGCTGGGAGCTTGTGACTGGATCAAGTTCTGTCTCTGCAGTTAAGGTTAAACCCCGCCAACAGGTTAGAGTTGAGATAAGGTATCTCCCCTCACTCCTCCAGCATCTGTACCGACCCAGAGAACTTCATGAGACTAGATTTGATTAAGAATGGCCCCTCCCCTATTTGCCACCTGCTGTCAACCAAGCCCATCCTTAGGGTACTTCATTTGGACACCTGAACTCCAACTTGGAGCATGTTCCATGTGTCACCCTCACTTTGGGTGAGTTTCTTGCATACATAGGGATCTACCTCTGTCTGTTATATTGTCAGGTAGTATGTGTTCGTCTGTGTGTGTAGCTTTTCTAAAACCTTCTTAGGGACAGCTAGGTGGTACAGTGGATAGAGCTTTGGCCTTGGAGTGAGGAGGACCTGAGTTCAAATCTGGCTTCAGACACTTCACACTTACTAGCTTTGTGACCCTGGGCAAGTCACTTAACCCCAATTGCCTAAAAAAAAAGAACCTTCTTAGTGTGCAGAATGATAATAAAGCTCTTGTTTGTATCTGTTTCCCCGAAATATTAATTACCTTGAAATTCCAGAATCTAAGTCCTTTCTTTATTTGTCCTCGAGGCCAAATAAATCCCTCTTGGCATTCTACCCCTGGGACTTTGGGGGACTCACTTAAGCTTCCTGGGCCTCACTTTCCTGGCTTGTGAAAAAAGGGATTGGATTAGGTGTCCTCTAGAGTCCCTTACAGCTTTCAATCTGTGATCCAAGAATCTCCATTCTTTCCTCCTGTGTGCTGTGGGCAGGGTAATATTAATGGCCATCTCTAAGGATGTAACCTTAAGCCTTCCATGGCTGCCTATTTAGGAAAGTACAAATTCCAGCTGAGCAGACTTTCAGTAGAAAGACACCCTACTCTATGTAGAGAACGTCCTTAGAAGTTCAAAGAGATATAATATTTAGATAAGCTTTGGTCCCCTCAGGGAATTTACATGCAGACAAGACATGCAAAACTAACTATACCATACAATAACAGAATGTAAGCACATGAGAAAGGCACACAGTCTTCTGTGAGACCCCAGTAGACAATGTCTTTAGCAATGGTATATCAGGGAAAGATTTCTGGAGAAAGTTGAATTCAATTTGGGCTTTATAAGATGAATATAAATTGAGAAATGGATGTGATTCCAGAGTGCAGAAGTCATTAATGGGGAAGGGAAGCATAGCAAATATACTGCACAGGGAGAGCATTTTCATCTTCTTGTAATGTAGATTAGGCTGTGTGTATGAGATCAAGATGAGAAGGACCATATGCTGTAGGGTTGAATGCCAGGCAGAAAGGTTGGACCTTAACTCAGTAGGCAATAAGATATCATTATGTGACTTGGAGCAGAGTAGTGCCAGGATCCAAACAATGCCTGACCCTAATTCTGGCAATAATGTGAAGGATAGATTGGAGGAGAGAGATAATGACACAGAACATTCTGTTATCAAGCAATTATTGCAGCAGTGAGAGCAGGCAGTAGTGAGGGCATAGAATAGAGGATTGACCTTGGGAGATTGACGATGGGAAGGGAGAGAGAAGCAAAAGGACTAGGTTATTGGCATACAGTAGGCACTTAACGCATATTTGTTGAAAACCAGAAGAAGAAAAAAAGATCTTTGGATTTCTCCATTAGGAGGTCATTGAAGATTTGGGAGAGAATAGTTTCACCAAGGTCATAGGAATGGGAGCCAGATTGCAAAGAGATGAGGAGATCCTGGTTATTGGCAAAGTAGAGGCCTCAGGCATAGACAAGTTTTCCATGAATTTGGCTGGTTCAGGGTAGAAGGAATGGCTCTCACTTCCCCCCCACCTTTATTAAGAACAAAGGACACTTGAGGCTGCTGACAGGAGGAAAGGACTGGAGAGGGAAAGACTGAAGATGGTAACAACAGTAAGGACTGACATTTCTGGAATTGTAAAGCTTGGTAAAGTTGTCTTTTTCATACCTGATCTCATGGAAGCCCCACAACCACCCTGTCAAGTAGGAGCTTCGTATTCCTACCTACCTCATTTTACAGGTGAGGAAACTGAGGCTCACAGAGGCTCCCTTCTCTCTTTTTGTCAACAAGAGTCAGTATAAGGCAAAGGGAGGAGTGTGGATTTTGAACAGAGTACTTGGTCTTAACCCTGGGCTCTGCTAAGTATTGCCTCTATTGTTACATTAAAAGCATAAACAACTCCATTTTATTTTTTTAACCACCATTTTGTGAAGTTAAGTTTCATCCATGTAAGTCACCTTGTTTTGGAGATGGCACAAGTTTCTCTCTACTATCACCCACCACAAGGATACTACTCTACCCTTCACCTGAGTGTCTCCTGGTCTCCTCTACCAATAAGAAACCAGGTGGCTTAATCTGTCATCCTCTTTATCTCTCTCTCCAAATTGTATATGATATAGAAACCAGAGTTCAGGTTTATGCTAATGAGAGTCTTGCTGATTTTTTTTCCAACTACATACCTTGCTGAATAAATTTCTTGTCTGGGTGATACTCATTTTCTGTATTTCAGTGTAATGGTATGTTCTTGGACAAATCATGGAGACCTCCCTTTGTATGAGTTTTCTGCTTTGTAAGAGAGGGAGGGGAATCTAAAAGCAGCCAGGCCTGGAATACAGGAGTCACATTGGTAGAGTTTGGCCAGGGTACTGAGTACATGAGCACTGACCCTCTAAGAGATGCCTGGGGAGATGGGGAGCAATCAGATTGTGGGGAGGCCTGCATAGCAGATTTCCTCGTCATTTCCCCTGATGACTCTTCCAAGCTTTCCCTGTCTCCTCAAGCCCTCAACCAAAGCACTGCACACCCTACACACTCTCACTGGTAGACCTAGCCCTCCTTCACTAAGGAACTGAGGACACCTACATGGACTTTCTTTGATTCCCTTTCTCCACTCCTCAAACTTTCTCAGTACCACAGCTGTTTTCTCCCCTCTCCTGCTTGTCTCATGACTCCTCACTAAAGCAAATCCTTCACTGTGCCAGCTGGGTCCTCACAACTTTGCTTGGTTGGACAATCATCCCCTCTCTCCCTGCTCTGAGTGCTGAGCTTGGCAGAGGCAGAAAGAATTAGGCTCAAATCCCAGCTCCAGGGATTACTACTTATGAGACCTGGGGTGGGTCTCTAAGCCTCAGTTTTGCCATCTGTGAAATGAGGTAGGTAAGTATACCTGTAGTTCCTGCTTCAGGGGTGGTTGTGAGGGTTGAAGGATATCAGGTGTGGAAAGGGTACTCTGCCAAACTTGGGGTTCCATAAATGCCAGTTGTTATTGTTATCATCGTGTTCAGTCTTTGCCTCTCCTGTCCTTTCCATCTATCTACAGTCTCATCTCTCTGATATGGTTGCCTAGCCTAGGACAGACATCCTTGTCCTCTCTGGATGAAGGAGGGGGTGTTGGCTGTGATGCTGATTGGTGGATGAGTCACTGCAGTGGAGGCTGCTGCAGGCTGCATGCTCTCCAGGGTGGGGGCAAAGAGGACCCTGGGCCAGGAAAACAGAGGATGGATGGGTTAGAAGGCACCCCTCTGCGATGCTTTGAAGCTGGTGAGTGAGAAGTCTGGGCTATGGGAATGGGGATGTGTTCATCTGACTCCTCCCTCCTAGCTTCTTCCCCGCCCTCCATCTCCCTTCCCCCCTCCTCTTTCTCTTACCTCACCCCTGTCCTCTCTCCATCTGTCTTTCCCCGTTTTCCCCCCATTTCCCTTCTCTTCCCCTCTTTCCCCTCCCCCTTATCCTTCTCTTCCACCCCCTTTCCCCCTTCTGTTCCTCCTCTTCCCCCAAACCTTCCACTCTCCTTCTTACCCCCTTCCACTCACCTTCCTCTTTCTCTTCCCCCTTCTTCCTCCCTCCCTCCTTTCTTCTTTTGTCTCCATTCCCCTGACTCCTAGAATTCTGAGCTGCATCCCAGTGAAGCCTTTCCCTATCTGGGTACAGCTAGGTTGTGTCGTAGTTGGAACTAGGAGGGAGGGGGTCAGGATCTTTTTGCAATCCTCTTGAGACCCCTCTTTCTGAAGGTGACTTTAAAGTGCCCAGTGGCTGCTCTCCTCAAGGGGTTCTTGGAGGGAGGGTTTATTATGTTCTCTCCCCATATTTTCTGGCTGCTTCTGGTTGCTGTTGAAGGTAACTTTCTGGATTGGATTTGCATCTAGAGGGAAGCAGCCACAGGGTGACTGGGGTGAGTGGCCAAAGTTAAACTTCCCAAGAATCTGCCACCCTCACCCTCCCTCCCCTAAGTATATCTTATCCTGGGTGGACGTGGTGCAGGGAAGACTTAGGTTGCAATGCCAGGCTGCCTTGACCTGTGGCTCTCCCACTGGACAGAGATTCAGAACTAACTGGAAGGGGGCTTTGAGTACATGTAGTCTACCTCTCCCTCTCCAACCCTGGATTTCACAAATGAGGAAGTGAGGCCCAAGAAAGTTAAGTGCCTTGCCCATTTAAACAAGCTGTAGTCAGACCAGCCCTCAAACCCAGGTCCTCTGACTGCAGCCCATTCCCCTCCACCAGGGCTACTTTCCTTAACATTCTGGATTCTAGTTTGCACCTGGGATTGAGATGGAGGGCAAGAAGAAGCAGTAGCAGTTGATGACAGGGACCACAAACAAGATGCCCTATTTCTTTGATAAGAAAGAAAGGACACAACCCCTTTTTCAGTGTGCTGTGTTCAGTCTCTGTCTACACCTTAGCTGTGATGCACTTTCAGTTTATAAACTCCCTCCACCTGAGGAAGGTCAGCCACTCAGCTAGGATTATCTTTGGAGAGGGACACCTCAGGTGCTGAGCTAACACTGCCTCCTCCAGTCACAAATAGGCAAATTGTCAGGAGCCTTTGCCTTTGTAGGTTAGAGGCAAATCAGGCTTACTCTGTCATCATGATGATGAAGCCATATGGCCCCAAGACCCCATCTTTTCTAGAAATATTCAAGCCAATATCACTTATTAGTTCAGGTTCAGTTTGTTTAGATGAGGTAACCCATTTTCACATTCCCTAATACTTAAGAACTCAAAAAAAAAAAACCCAGACATTATCAAGCAAGAATTGTTCCAGTCTTCTCCTAAGAAATGACTATATCCTAAGTAAATGCTTTAAATGTGAAGGTTCTTATAATCTTTAATTATCCTCATGTTAATGTGAATACTTTTTGGGGAAAGGAGTCTATCACTTTGATGGAGGAATTCATAGCCTGAGAAATGTGTAAGACTTTTTGGTACCTGTTCATAAGTATTCAACTTATTATAAAGGTTGCACATTCTAGACATGGTCTACTCATAACTGTCACTGTTAGGGGCATGGGTGGATGTTCAATTTGCATGGAATCACCTGGTGAAATCTGGGCCTAAAAACACACACACTGGCACCACATGAGGTCTTGAAAATATGGTCCAACTCGTATTGTCTTCATCATTTTCATCATCTTCCCAGCTAACACTTCTACTGTGCTTACTATGTGCCAAGTGCCATGCTAAGCACTTTACAATTATCATCACAACCTGTGGTCCTCAGAACCACCTTGGGGAGGTAGATGCCATTATTATCCCCATTTATTCCAGTTGAGGGAATGGAGGCAAAGGAGGGTTAAGTGACTTGCTCAGGGTCACACAGCTAGGCAGTGTCAAAGGCCAAATTTGACTCCAGTCTCAGTGCTCTAGTCACTGAGCCACCCAGCTGCCACTAACAGCAGAGACCTGTCAAAAGTGGGATGACAACCCATGCCTCCCTACAGATCATGTAGGTGTATCATTGAATGAATCAAAAAAATCACAAAAACGCAATGTCTTGCCAAGTGTGCTAGTAATAGGCCTGTGTCTTGGTATTTCTACTTTTATGGACTCCAGTATGGCTATCAAATAATTTTTAGTTCTAAGGACCTAAAATGTCCCATTCAAGTATTTAAACTTTTAAGAACAATTACTTGTCTGGCTCTTCCAAGAAGGGCTCTCAAACGCCTTTAAAAAAAGTTTCACTGATGTCTTTTGTTTTTACACCATCATGGTTTTTACCCAGTTTCCCTCCCCCTCCCTCTTCCTTAGACCAATATGGCAAATAGCATATAACAAAGAGTATGCTTTTAGTTTCTTTTCCTTGTCTGGTTGTTGATAACAACTGTACAAAATAACAAGTAACAGAGAGGAGAGGGTGGACATCCTTGTTTTAGTCCCATCCTTCTTGAAAAAGGCTCTGGTTTGTCTCCATTGCATGTGATTCTTGCTTTTGGTTTTTCACCTTTTTATGACATTAATAAAGATCCCTGTATGCCTCTCTTCTCTAGAGTTTTAGTATACATGGGTGTTGTACTTTGTCAGAGGCTTTTCTGCTTCTAGTGAGGTAATCACGCGGTTTGGGTTATTTTCACTTTACTATGATTGATATTTTGAGTGTTTTCCTAACGTTGATCTATCCCTGCATCCCTGGTATGAATCCAGTGTGGTCATATTGATTGTCTTCTTGGGTGATTTGCTATAGTCTGACAGGATTTTATTTATATTTCTTGAATCAATTTTCATGAATGATATTGGCATCTAGTTCTTTATGGTTATCGTTCCATGGGTTAGATATTAGGAATATGATGGGGTGCTTGTGCTTGTGCTTAGACCTCAATTTCTCCCTAGCCTCAGAAACACTCTCTCTGACAATTTCTCCCCAGCCCAAGGACACTGTGCCTAGCAATTACTCATGAGTGGGCCCCAGCAAGACCCTTATCTCTCTCCCTGGTGCAGTTACAAACAGCACATGAAGGAATTATTAGTTTGATCTGGCTTTGCAGTAGGTCACAAAGATATTCTTACCCACTGGACCATCTATGCTACCGCCCTACTACATCCTGCACTCCTCATTATCTGTTTTCTAGACTTAAGACATGTGTATACTCCCTACATCTATCTTGTCAAACAAGACATTGATTGGTGGCAGACTGGACAACTGTCAGTTACCCCTGAACTCTAGTTAACTTAGTGACATAGCAGGCCTAAAACCACACCTCCATGTGACCCCCTCTTGTGGGTTTTTCCCAGTGAACTCTGGGAAAAACACCTTTGAAGTAGGTACAAGAAGTGCATGTTCTTTTAAGAACTGACCACTCCTTAACCACTCCCTAATCCCTCCCTGAATCACCTAGTTAGCATATTTGGCATATGTTTTATTGTATTTTATCCTATATAAACTTTAATTGTATCCCTCTAAGGTCACAGGTTCCTTAAGAATCCTTGCCTGCTGAAAAGCGTAACAATAAACTTTTTGCCAGCTTGACTTGAAGAATGCTTGAGTCTGTGAATTCATTCCAGATGACCCCATCTTGTACTCCTGTCTTTGAGGGGTGTCAACCTCTCAGACCTCAACAAGTCTATTTGTCTCATAAAAGCATTCTGATAGGGTGCTTTCTTTCTCAGTGTTGGAAGATAATTTGTGGAGTATGGGTACTAATTGCTCTTTAGAACATTTCTTAGAATTCTGTCAAACCATGGAATTTTTCCCCCCCTTTGTTAGTTCCTTTACATTGAGTTCTTTTTCTTTTTCTGAGATGGGGTTTTTAAGATTTCTACTTGGTTTCTATCTGTTTGGTATTTGGCAATTTTGAAAGTCCTCCTCTTTGTCTTTTGTATTCTCGGTTTTGTTTTTTTGTTTTAGCATGTAACTGTAACTGATTATTTTTTTTTTACTTTTTCTGGTTTTGTTGTGATTTTCCCTTGCTCTTTGGCTAATTTGTTGCTTATATTTTATGCCTATTTAACCAGATTGGTGAATCAGTTAGCAAATTTTCATTAAGCACCTACTATGTTCCAGGCACTCTGCTAAGTGCTGGGGATGTGAAAAAAAGCAAAGGAACAAACAAAAAGACAGTCCCTGGCCTCAAGGAGCTTGCAATGTTTTGGCAAACAGCAGTGTTGAAAAGGAAGCTGAAAAACTGGGGTTGGGGTTAAGGGGGCTGGTGAAGTAGGCACCCAAGCACAGCCCAAAGAGTGCAAGCTGGTGGGAAATGAAGAGATGGCTGGCCCAGAGCCCTCTGGAAATGGGGGAGTTCCTTGCTCTGCAGCTCTCCACTCTTAGGTGTGGAGAGTACTGTGGCAGTGTGAGTGCCAAAGCTGATGAAGTCCCCCTGGATGATGAGTTTCCTGATAGGAAGTTTCTTGGGGCCTGGTGGTCTCCAAGGCATGCAGGATGGTGGGAGATTTTACTAGTCTTTTCTTTCTTTTCTTTTTTTTGGGGGCTTTTTTGTGAGGCAGTTGGGGCTAAATGACTTTCCCAGGGTCACACAGTAGTAGTCTTTTTAAAGAACCAATTTTTAGTTATCATTTCTGTGGAGATTTCATTGTTTTTTGCTTTGTTTCCAATTTATTTACTTCTCTAGTTTCTGGAGGAGTACAATACCAGACCAAAGCTTTCCTTGATGATTTTAATGAAGTTGTTCGATTTTAAAGTTATGTGTTCGATTTCTAATTTTCTAAATTTATATTCAGTTGGTTAATCTTCTCTTTTTCTATGTTTGTAGGGTTATGATTTTCTCCCTGAAGCCTCCTTTTAGCTGCATCTGATAAATTTGGGTATGTTGTTTGATCATTATCATATTTTTCACATAATTATTATTTTTAATATATGCTTATTTAATTCAGATGTATAGAATTTTACATAAAATTGAAGAGGGAGGAAAACATTTAAAGAGTAATAGAAAATCATTAGTTTTTTAGTTTAAGTATTCAAAAACTTATGTAACTGTTGATTGCTTTGGATTTATGTAACCAAAACTTGGAACATAAAAAAGTAGTGAAAGTTCATATTACCTTTCACATATTTCTAAATATCAAATTACATCAGTTTACCATGAACCTAATTTGAAGCATAATCAAAGATTAAAATGAAACAAAACAAAAGACCTCTAGGAGTAACAGAATTTCTTTTAAAAACAAATTGAAAATTACCTAGCATCCCAAGTTTATAAGTAAACAAAGTTTCATGCTACTCAATGAGTTGCATCCAGTTCCTGTAATAAACTGTTAAGTGGCATCAGTGTATAGTATTCACTTTATTGTATGTGACTTTTATGTAGGTAAAGGTTTCATTCATTATTTTTGCTACATCATTAAAGTAGCAGAGAGGGGTTAACCTCAACTATTATACTTATTTAAAAAATAAGTTGATAGAATTAGGCATCTGTCTTCAGAAAAGGCAGCGGAATTTTTCTATGTGCCCTGGATAAGTGTTGCTCTAAGTCTTCAATACCGTCCTGAACAGCCATGCAATTAAACAACTTTGGGAGATATTGCATAAGATAGAGCGTGGAGCAGTTTGCTCATTTTTGTTTCAGGCTAATATAGCCAAGGTAAAGCACATCCAGATCTTTTTTGTGGTTTTAATGTTTCATATACTTAGAACTCTATAAAACTAGAGCCATTAGTAGATAAGTATATGTACATATATATATATATGTATATGTATATATATACATATATACATATACATATATATATATACGTATATATGTATATATATACATATATATACATATATATATACGTATATATATGTATATATATATACATATATACGTATATATATATGTATATATATATATATTAAATAAAGTCTCTTGTCTGCTTCAAAATTTAAGGGTGATTTGTTTTTTACTGGTCAGTCATCTCAAGGGGTCAATAAATAAAAGCAAAAAAGGCTGAACTGTTTTGCATATCTTTGTGGAAGAATGTAGAACATTTACACTTTTAGAGTTCAAGAAAGGTCACTGTATGGACTGAACAGCTTATATACAACATCTGTGCAATTTTAATTAGCTTGAGTATTTTAATGCAAGAGCTCCTCTTGGACAAGAAGCCACAGTTATTCCTGTCCAAGTCCCTCTGTCTCTTGTATTGCAAAAAGTAGTTTCTCCGTTAGCTGTTCGCTTTTATATGGTGGTAGATCCAAATGATTAAAGCATGTATGACTTCATGGTAACCGGTTTTTTTTTTTTGGCCAACTTTTTCAATGCAAAACTTCTGAAGACCATTACTCCCCATGAGCTTAGCTAATCTTTGTAAGGGTAGTTGGCAGGTTCCAGTGACAAACTGCATTAGACACATTCTAACTGCATTGTCTGTCTCTTTCACAAACTACCAGAACCAAATGATCTGCTTGCTATTTCTTGTATAATGTTGATATACAGTATTTCTCTGCCAGTCTGCTAAATAGACTTCTTGTATGCCACACAACATTAGCCCCAATTCTTTTTCATCAAAGTACTGAAGCCATTGAAGGGGAACAACTTCATTAAAATCATCAAGGAAAGCTTTGGTCTGGTCTTGTACTCCTCCAGAAAAACGCCATTCTGCCATCAAACCAATATATTCTTCTTTGTTCTCCTCAGTCACCCGGATATTAGGACCTCCCAATTTCAGATCATGTGAAATTACTTGCCTCAAAATTTCCATATCAACTGAAAAATACATTTCCAGCACACATTCTTCAATGTTGTTGTTTCTTATCCAGATGAGGGAGTTATAGAATTCAGTATCAATAGATTCCAGATCTTTAATAGTAAGCTTCTTACTTAGCTTATGCTTGTAGAATGGCAAAGAAAAACCAGTATCAGTAAACTTTCTGTAAAACAGTGCCATAGCAATAAAGCATCCAATGAAAAAGAGATACGAAAGATGATCTGGATTGATTGTTGATGCTGGATTAATCTGAAGGCAGTTATTGCTTTTTCTAGCATACTCAAACAAACAATGCATAGGATTCAGCTCTTCATGGGAAAGCAAAACAAAAAAATTCTCTTGCCAGGACACCGTAATTAAGTCCTTCTTTTCCCTTGAATATTACATACAATGTCCTCCTCAAATCATAGCATTTTAGAGCCATGATGTGTCAGAAAGAGTCTTCAAGCAGTGTCTGTTGGGACACATTGATTTTCACATGGCTGGGTAGTGCATTAGACTGGCACAAATAATGGAAGTGTGCAAGTTCACTAAAGCTGCACTCATAAGCAATTTGTGGGTCTTCCATTACAGAGGATTTCTCAGTATGAGGATCCTTAAATGTCATTGTCTCTGCATTATGATTGACAAAATACTTAAGACCTTCTCTAGTACATTTGATTTCCCAGCCCTCTGGAAGGGGACTTTCAGGCAATAAACCTTGAGTTCTTGGGTCTTCCCACTGTGTTGTTTCTGTGTTATGATGGACAAAATAAATTCTGTTATTTGAATCTACTCTTTTTTCCCAACTGGGTGGGAAAGAACCAAGAGGATCATTTTCTGTTGGTAACATTGAAGCCAAGTAGAGGTATAGTCAGTTAAATTGTTGCATAGCTTCTTGGAGTTGGTTACACTGAGACTTCCGTTGTTCAAAGTTTCTGAGTGGTCCCATAGTAAGTTGCTGCCATGTTGTTGTTCTGGTGCTATGGTCCACATAATAAACTTCCACGATCATCAACTCTTCTTTCCCAACTGGTGATAAAGGCTGTGGTCTCTCCCATGTTGTAGTTTGTGTGTTATGATGAATGTAATAGGTCCTATCATGAGGATCTTTTCTCTGTTCCCACCCTGGTGGCAAAGGTTCTGTAATGGAATTTCTAAGTTATTGCCTTATAGGCTCTTCAGGTACATTAGAAGATTGTCTTAGTTTGGCAACTTCAATAGCAGAACTATTTTTAAAATTAGAGGCAGAGTCTACAATATTTAAAACTTCATATACCATTTCTGCACTGGTTGAACCAAAGTACGCACTATTTTCAGAGCACTCAGGAATTTCTTGAATTATAAGATCTGTAGTAGTAGTAGTAGTAGTAGTAGTAGTAGTAGTAGTAGTAGTAGTAGTAGTAGTAGTAGTAGTGCAATTAGTAGATGTGGGAGTTTCTTCAGAACTTATTACAGCCTGAAGAGCAGGTGCGTTATCAACTGCTGCAGATGAAGACAATTCTCTATTAGCAATGTTACTGGCAGACTGAGATGTAAGTGGTTTTGAAGCTGGTGTACTTTTAGGTCTGGTTGCAATATGAGGAGATGAGGGTGTGCTATCTCCATTAAGCACATGTATGCAGGATGAATTTTGTACTACCGAGTTTGTAGACGTATGGTTATCTATTCCATTAGCAACTTCAATGGCAGATCTGGTTACAGTACTTGCTGAAGTTTCTCTGTTTTCATACATGGCAGCACTATTCTGCTGTACTTCTGTGGCTGCTGCTGGAGGGCAATTTGTTAGTGTTTCTTGCTGAACCACCAATCCATCAAGCACAACTATCAGTTCACCAGTTTGTATTATTCCACTCTTGTTTTCCAAGGAGAGTTTTATTTGTTCTTTCACTCTTTCCAATTTTCTATTGTTTATTTTAAGAGCTTGTCTCAAGTCTACTGCTGCTTTTCCTGATGACTCCACACTCTAAATTCCCATGTGGTCTGAGGTGGCACATTCACAGTCAATTGTTCATTCCACTTTGGATTAGATGAACTACTAGATTTTGCTGTTTTCTTAATTTCTCCATCTACAGATAATTCTGCTTAGATATCTGTTCCAAACCAGTTCTTTTTTCTTTTCAGTTTGGCACTAGAAACAGTCACCTGAAGCTGTGGTCTTCCATTGGGGTTATTACTAATATCAGAGTGTGGTGAAGCTGTGGCCATTTCCCAGTGTTCAGTTTTAGCCAAAACTTCTGGGGTGAAGCTAAAGTAGTCCTCAGGGGAGAAATCATATCCCCATGGTCACACAGTAAGTACTGGAGGTAGAATTCAAAAGAAGGCCTCTTCTGACTCCAAATCCAGTTTTCTTTCCACTATACCATGCTGCCTCTTCAAGGATAAACGAATTAAAGGGGAGAGCTGGTATTTAAACCCAAATCTTCTCCAAGAACAGCAGTTTCTTCTCCCCCAGGCTTGCGGCCAGTCTGCCTCCCTCACCTGCATGCCTGCCTGCCAAGGAGGTGGCTGTGGCTCTCATGCCTCTCCTCTTTGTTTAGTAGCCGATAGCGGGTCTCCTCACCCCTTGGAAGGGAGGATTGCAATCTTCCAGTGGCAGCCACACCAGAGTCGGCCCCCAAGCAGTGCAAGCTGCCTGCAGCCACATGGACCCACAAACAGGGGAGATCACCAGGGCCCCCTTTACTGCAACCCAACCTTCAGCCCCAAACCACACACCGCCTGGGTCCAATCACACCTTTTTCAAATAATTATTAATAGTTTCTTTGATTTGTCCTTTCACCCAATCGTTTTTTAGAATTTCACTGTTGTCTCCATGTGGGCCTGTGTCTCTTGTTTGTGGTCCCTAAATGGAGCACAGTTTAATGGCTGTTTTTTCCCCCATTTATTATTATTTTATTTTTCCCAATTTCATGCTAAGATAGTTTTCAACATTCACTTTTACAAGATTTTGAGTTTCACATTTTTTTCTCCCTCCTTCCCCTCCCCCCTCCACAAGATGGCATGCAATCTCATACAGGTTATACATGTACAATCATATTAAACATAGTCCCGCATTAGTCATGTTGTGACAGAAGAACCAGAACAAAATGGGAAAACCATGAGAAAAAAGACAGAAAATAGTGTGCTTTGATCTG